TGAACAAGCATGTTGACAATTAAGTTTCACTAGCATTGAAAATCAACAAAGTATAGATTCTCATATCTAAAGCCTTTGAAGATCAAATTAGAGCCATCTACATTTATGATTTCTACATCATCTACTCTAAATATGCACTTAAATCCAAGATCACACAATTGAGCCATGGATAGCAAATTGAAATTCAAGCTCTCAACTAGCAATACATTGGATATGCTCAAGTCATTGGATATTGCAATCTTACCAAGCCCTTTGACCTTGCCTTTGCCATTGTCACCAAATGTAATACTATCATAACCATTGCTATCATTAGTATTGATTGAGTTGAACATTCTTGCATCACTGGTCATGTGTTGAGTGCACTCACTATCAAGAACCCAATGCCTTCCTCTAGCTTTATAATTGACTTACAAAAGAAGATCAATTCTTTTTAGGTACCCAAACTTATTGGGGTCCTTGAAGGTTAGTCACTATGCTCTTTGGTACCCAAATGGCCTTCTTCTTTGGGCCCAATATGGATGTACCAACAAACTTAGCCTTCACACCATTGGCACCCTTAGTGAGCAAATAACAAGAATCAAACTTAATTGAGGATACAATAGCATTCTTGTTCTTATTCTTGCAATCATGCTCTTTTATTACCAACTTGCTTGCAACTAGTGCAAAATCGACCATTATTTTTCACAAAACTAGTTTTGTGAGGAGAAAAGGTTGCCTTGCCTTTCTTGGGGGTATAACCCAATCCCTCTTTATAGAGATATGCTCTTTGGCTATCAAACACATAAGCAAGCGGTCCTCTCCACCATAAGCTTTGCCTAAGGCAAGAGTGAGCTCATTGACCTCCTTCTTTAAGGTCTCATTTTCAACCATAAGTGAGGCATCACAAGTGAAACCATCACTCATAGGTGAAGTGGAAGTGGACGATGAGCTACATGAAGGGTTAGCGGGAGCAACAATAATAGGCTTATAGAAAGATTAATCAATTATGTCACATGTTAGGCCTACATCGCATGTTACTACCACTTTCTCATTTTGCTCAACAAGAGTGGAATGAGCCTTTTCAAGCTTCTTGTGAGCCTTGCCAAGCTTCTCATGGGCTTCCTCCAGCCTCTCATGAGATGCATTGAGCTCATCAAAAGCTTGCTTAAGGGCTTTTAGTTCCTTACACAAGCTTTTGCATTCCCTTCTCTTAATGTCAAAATGTTCTTTAGCATCTTCAAGCATGTCAATTAGTTTATATTTAGTGGGTTCATCATCATCATCACTTTCACTTTTATTATCATGTTCCTCATCATATCCATCATCACAAGTGTACCTTAGTGGCCTTAGCTATGAAGCAAGTCGATGGAGTGTCGAAGTGAGAAGGCTTCTCATTTATGGCAATGCTTGCAAGAGCCTTCTTCTTGATGGTCTTGTCATCATCACTAACATCATCGTCACCTTGAGGAAGCATCACTATCCCAAGTGACCACATATGAACCACCCTTCTTCTTCTTCTTGAAGGTCATCCTATCCTTCTTCTCTTTTTTTCCTTCTTGTCCTTATTCTTGCTCTTCTTATTGTTATCATCATTATCACTATTGTATGGACATTTTGCAATGAGATGATCCTTGCTATTGCACTTGAAGCACCTTCTCGCTTCTTCCTTGTTCTTGGATGATGACTTCTTCCTCCTTGCACAATAGCCCTTCTTCACCATGAATTTGCCAAACCTCTTCACAAAGAGAGCCATCTTCTCATCATCAAGTTCATCAAAGCTTAAGCATTCATTTTCACTTGATGTTTCTTGCTTTGCCTTGCCCTTGGATGATGTGGCTTTGAATGCCACACTCTTCTTCTTGTCATTCTTCTTTTCATCTTTCTTCTCCTTATTCTTTTCTTCCTTCTCATCATCATCTCTATAGGTGTCATCAGTCATCACATCTCCCAACACTTGATTTGGTGTCATGGTGTCCAAACCACTCCTTACTAGAATAGTGACCAATTTGTCAAATCTCGATGGTAAGCATCTCAAGAATTTGTGGGAGAAGTCCTTGTCCTTCACCTCTTCTTCAAGTGCTTTGAGATCATTGACAAGCACTTGAAGCCTATGGAACATCTCCGGCACACTCTCATCTTCCTTCATCTTGAAGTTAGCAAACTTCTCCATGATGATGTATGCCTTTACACCCTTCACCGCTTGAGTGCCCTCAAATGATTCCTCCAACTTCTTCCAAGCATTATGAGCTATTTCAATATTCTTGATTTGCTCAAATGTTCTCTTATCTAATGCATCATAAATGGCACCAAGAGCAATGCCATTGTTTTAGAGCAACACCTCCTCAGCCTCAGTGGGATTCTCCAGATTGGCTACCTCAAATTTGGTCTCCACCGCCTTCCACACTTTTATATTGATTGACTTGATATAGGTGGTCATCTTTGCCTTTTAATATAGATAATTTGAGCCATCAAGTTAGGGTGCTTTCTTGGTGTTGTTGATTTGAGCCATTTTGACACCGAAGGTTATTAAACCTAAAATCACGGTGACCACGGCTCTGATACCACTTGAAAGGTTCTAATGGCTAGAGAGGGTGAATAGCCTATAAAATTTTTTACATCAATACTTAAGCCAAGTGATTAGACAATTATGAAGCGAAGCGAGTGCTGCGCTAGCCTACTCAAAATGCAAGCCTCCTATCCACAATTCTAGTTATCTATGATCTCTATATCACACAAGAGGCTAAGTCACTACCACTAAGTTAGTGAGCTCTCAAAGACTAACTAAAGAGCCTCACTAACCACTAGACAAGACATAAGCTAGCGCTCAAAACTAATTACACTAAAAAGCTTAGCTACACTAGGAAAGAAAATATAAGAGTGAGGCGGTAAAGTTATACCACCGTGGCAAGAGACAATCAATTAATCACAATGAATACCAATGAAATCCTCAGAGACAAGATGACACAATGATTTTTCACCGAGGTTCACTTGCTTACCGGCAAGTTAGTCCCCATTGTGGCGATACACTTACTTGGAGGTTCACGCGCTAATAGGCATCACACGCCTAACCTGTAATCGAGTGCCACACAACCAACACAAGATGAACATCATATAAGCCACGAGCAATCCACTAGAGTATCTTTTGGCTCTCTGCTGGGGCAAAGGTCAAGAAACCCTCACAATTACCACAATCGGAGTCGGAGACAAGCACTTTCCTCCGCTCGATGATCCTCGCTGCACCAAGTTGTCTAGGTGGCGACAACCACCAAGAGAAACAAGCGAAATCCGTAGAGAAACACAATCACCAAGTGCCTCTAGATACAATCACTTAAGTAATGCACTTGGATTCACTCCCAATCTCATAAAGATGATGAATCAATGATGAAGATGAGTGGGAGAGTTTTGGCTTAGCTCACTAGGTTGCTATGTCAATGAAAATGGCCAAGATAGTGAGCCCATTAAGTCACATAAGTGATAGTCGGACTCGCTAGCATGGGCCGTCGGACCGTCCGACGCTTGGTCCGATGCCCTGCCGCGTCCACTCACGAGCTGCCACGCGTCCTGTTTGAATCAAAGTGACCGTTGTCGCGCAACGGCTCACTGCCAAGCGCTAATCACGACGTCGGACCCGTGCCTCGGACTCACCGTCGGACTCCACATAGGGAGAGTCCGATGCGGTCCAGAGAGGTCCAGAGAGCAACAAATCGGTCGGACCCTAGTGCGATGCCCACCGTCGGACCCGCTCCATGGTCCGATGCCGCCACATGTCGCGCTCATTCTCACTCACACGCGCGGCACTGAATGAATAGTGTCACGAGCCCTGGTCCGACACCGCCTCCTCTTTGCGCGCGCGTTAGGGTCAGCCATCGGACTCTCCCCAGGCAGGGTCTGACGCCCAGTTGAGCAGGGTCTGACGCCCCTGTTTAAACTCCTTTTCAAGCGCAAACACTTCACCCTTACTCAGATGTGCTAACCACCAAGTGTATCACTATGTGCACGTGTGTTAGCATATTTTCATAAACATTTTCAAGAGTGTTAGCACTCACTAGAATCTAAATACATATGTAATGAGTTAGAACATCTAGTGGTACTTTGATAACCGTATTTCGATACGAGTTTCACCCCTCTTAATAGTACGGCTATCTATCCTAAATGTGATCACACCCACTAGGTGTTTTGATCACCTAAATAAAATGTCCCTATGGATATTACCTTTGCCTTGAGCCCATTTTATTTTTCTTTCTTCTTTTCCAAGCCCGAGCAATTTATCATCACCATGGTCATGACCTCCATCATGATCTTCTCTATTTACTCCGCCACTTGAAATGTGATACCCTATCCCATGATTACTTAGAGCAATAGGTTAGCACCTAGGGTTTCATCAATTCATCAAAACCAAATTAGAGCTTTTAGCGAGTCGATACATGAGACGGGTCGAGGGCGAGGGAGAATCGCGGGGGGCAGCAGCGACGGACCAACAAGTAGGTGACTATGCAACAAGGGGTGTGTGCTGTGCCGCCGAGGTGATCCATGAAACGAGGTAGGGCAAGTTGTCGCTGCCGTCACCGGCACAGGTGCGCGGTGATCTTCCGTGCGCAGGCGGCACCGGAAGGATTGTGTATTGCAGCGAGGACTAGGCTTCACCACGAATTTGAGTTGTTCGTGTAGGAACTTACAATAAGAAACTAGTAATCTATCTTTAAAGATAAAGATTCTTTAATTCATACTGTTGTTACACAGTAACAGGTGCTCTCTAGACCTGTTCATCTACAGTATCAGCCATTACTGCAACATGACCTGTTACTGTACCTTTTATATCCATTAACGCACCCTCTAGCTGTTAGCTCATTCGGCTGAAGCTGGCTGACTGGTCTAGCTGGTCAACCCCTCACATAAATATTATTCATATAAACCGATCAACAGTACCTGTCTTTCATGTATACGAACCACCACCCGTACGAGCCAACCATCTGAACAGCCTCTGGACCATGTCCCCGGTATCTGGAAGCCTCCCGTCGTTCTCATCTACAGCCAGGTTCCCAGTTCCGAAAAAAAAAAATCACCATCCCAATTCCCAACCCACCGCTCCACGCACGGGAACCACGCCCGTGCATCGCCGCCGCGCCGGAAGGAAGCTCTGCCGCCTCACGCGCGACCCGGCGGAGCGCCCACTCGCCTACGACCTCCGTCGTCTGCCCGCCGCAGCCCCACCGCCGGGCGGCGACCCCGCCAGAGCGCGGGACCGCGTGCACCCTCCGACGGTCGTGCGGCGCGTCACTGCAGCACCGCCGCAGGGCCGCGACCCCGCCGGACCGTAGACCCGGCTGCGCCCTCAGCCCGCCCGCGGCTCCGCCAGACCGCCGAAACGGTTGCGCCGTCAGCCTTTCCCCCATCTGCAGGCTCCACCGACTGCGACGACACCCGCCCGAGCTCCGCCCTGCCTGTGCCCTCCGCCGGCCGCGCGGCGCGGCCCGCAGAGCGCCGCAATGCAGGAACGCCGCCGGTCCGCGCTACGCCCCCGCGGCAGCGCCGGCCCCTCTCCGGTAATCTCCGTCGCCTGCCTACCTGTAGCTTTCTCCTATTTCGTTTCGGTCTTTTTTGCACACATCGATATCGTCATCTTCTTTTCTATGTTTTATCCTCCGTGCTCCAGATTCGGCCGGGGATCGCTACGCTCGTGTGCTGGGGGCCCGTACGCTCCTGCTGTGATCCAAGAATCCAACTGTGCCGTCATTCCCGGTTCGTCGTCAGCCCTGTCGCGCTCCGTTCAGGGTTTGTGTATTGGCCGGCGACGCACTCCCTCAAAGCTCCGGCACCGCTGCTCTTCTGCACAGAACCATCTATCTTCATAGGTGCTGCTCACAAGGTACCCCCAATTTTATACTTCCTCTTCAAAGGTTTGTGCAAGGGAATTGATGAATCAAAGTTTACAAATAATTACGGCTCCTCTTCATGTTTTGATCTGCTACGTTATTTTGGTCTTGCCTGTACAATGCTAAGATTTGGGATAATTTCCATTTATATATATGGACACCGACTTTTCTTTTGTCCGCTCATATTGCAGCAACAAAAATGTTTGACAGCCTTAACCATAACGTAGTAACATGTGAACTCCCTACTTTGACTATCAAGTTTCAAACCTCCTTTTCAATCTGTACACAGGTATCAATTGCTTGAGACGGAAACAGAGTACATTTATGCGCTTTCTGATCAGCACATATGCAAGATCAGCATCTCCCCACCATCAGCAACTGCCATGGAAGCACGAAAACTCCTTACTTTTATAGTCCTATTCTCCATGTATAAAATATGCCAATATTTTCTGTTTATACATGCACCAAAACTAAATGTTATATTTGAATCTTAGTTGGCTGACACATATATGCCACCTTTGCCACTACACCTTTGTCTGTTGGACATAACGTGTTCTATAGCCCGTACGAAAACTCTTTGTTATTTAGGTCTTTGGGTATCTTTAGCTCTTTAACATTGTTTGCTCTAGGCAGCTATCTTTACAACCTTACATTGTCATGTGATCAGTCCGTAACACAATTATGATTACCTATAAATCTGGAATTGCCATCAGATGTCATGTGTGCAAACTACGGTTTAAAAATGTAAGCTGTTTGAATCTTCTGATTAGTTTGCACCAAAGTACTGTAGATTGGGCCACCTCTCCCCTGGAACTTTTTTTTATCGTTTTACCAGCTATATGTTCGAGCTTCTTCTTGGCTGTGCTTTCCTGTGAATGCAGATACTTTGTGAGGCTTTCTTGAAGGAGCTGAAATCAGTTGCCCATTGAAGGGATCACAAAGTGATTGATGTTTGGCTCATCGTGCTTATCTATGCCAATGGTGGTGCCTCTTCATGCGCTGTTCTTGCCTTTATTGATGCTTCTGTTTGCAGTTATGCCGGAAAAGATTTCATCAGGAAATAATTCATCTTTACATCATATTTGGGGTCAATTATCTGAATCTCAAGTTATATTCAATCCATCTTATGAAGTATGCCAAAATTAACAGAGTGCCTCTCCATCTCCAGTTTAATTTGGACATTTCCTTCATTAGTTTGGATATCATTCTTCTATTTTTCAAGTACATTACTGCTGTTCCTTTTACTGAACATCATGTAGGTCTGCCATACACTAGGAAACTGATAAGAGGAAGGTGCCACTACAGCTGGGTACACTTATGTTTTAGAGCAAATATTTTGCCGATTCGCCAATATTGTTGCACTGCTACTTTGCACTTCTTTGTCACATCATGACAATACATCTGAATATGTATCCAAACTGCCTATGGACTCTGTTATGAGTATAGTGCTTTGCACCATATCCACAGTGCCTAAGCACTCAAATTGTTCCTGCCGAAGATGAAATTAGCTCAATGGATCACAATATCTGTTATTTCCTCTCACAGCTTAAACAACTACTATGACTGCATATTGCCTCTCTGACTCTAGCTGTTCTATGATATTTTCACTAGGGCCTCACAGTGTATTTGGTTCTATAGGACTACCAGGAATACCTCATCCTACAAGATAACAGGTAACTCCTTTTGGCCGTGCCTTGCAAATGTCGAAATCGCTTCTTCTCAGTTTCCAAACATGGGAACGTTATGAAATCTGGAACCACGTCATCATGGTTGCAACCCACATAAATTTGGTTAACTAAAAAATAAAGTAATTTCTGGTGTCTAAATGGAGCTGCACTCCTGTATTAGACGCCATCATCATAGTTAAGGCTACATAGGTTTTGTGCCCTCTAAATACAACTCCATGGCCTCCATGATCCATGGACCTGCACCGCCCTTTTGTTATCTAAGTAATAATTCCCATCCCACTCACACCCCAGAAACCTTTTACCAATTCAATACTCTATTTGTTACTCTCCCTTACTTTTAACATCAGGTTCTAAGCCTGCCTTTGATATGTACGCAGGGATCAATCGCTTGGAGTGGAAACTACAGCACATTTCTGTTTTTTTACCACATATGCAGGCTTAGTACCATCAGCAATTTGTCCATCGCAGCACAGATTTTTATATTACTACTTTTGTAGTTCTGTCACCCATGCATAAAGCACGGCACTATTTGTAAACTTTTCCTATATACTGTTACATTTGATGTTTCCTGTGGTCTTCAAGTGCTACATAAGTTACCCCCTCCTGCAAGACAACCGAATGTTATGTTTGCATTGACTCAAATCGTTGCATATCCTATACATTGTCAGTTTCCTGCCCGCGCTTCGTGTGGGGTTACAGGCTAGTTCACTCTTTACATGCGAGAGTGAATTACGCCATCCGTCCTGAAATATAGTGTATTTTGGCATTTGAATTTTGTCTTCAAATATAGTGTATTCTGCAGCCTTTGATTTTCTGTTGTTTTGTTTTAATTTTATTTGTTTCCTTTAGGGATTCAACGAAAATACCAGTATGAAACGTGGGACGTGTTCGGCTTGGTTAGATTTATTATGCTCGGACTTCCTTGCGTGTGCAGTAAAATTTGAGTAGTTATGTGGCTCCTTGAGGTATTAGATGGACGAGAGACTTGATTGGATGAATTTTGTTATGTATGTTTACCATATTACAGATCAGAAAGAGAACCAGAAAGGGGCTAGAAATCGGCTACCAAATGACCAAAGGATCTGATCTACATCATGCTCAACAGAGTTTAACCCACCTAATACAAATTTCAACAAAAGTAAACACAAACATGCGGAGGGTCAAAAAAGACATCTTTGTCCCTTAATACTACGGTAGCAGCAAACATCCTAGGCAATTAATAGGGGCGTTCTGGTCTTTTTAACTGTTTGTCTCTTTTAGTCACCTAATCCAAACATCCTAGTATCTTTGTTGTTACACTTTAGTCCTATGTTCCCTTGTTCTCGAAGTCATTAGTAGAGGAGTAAATAAAGTTTTATTTGCTGTTATGTCATGTTGCATTTGATGTATGGTCCTTATGTTTGGAGCTGGGAGTTTCTTACGTGTCAGACGTGTCCAAACGAGGAAAAACTATGGAGGATATTGTCAGGCGCGTCCAAATGTACAAAGGTCGGACTTTCTTATGTGTGCAATAACATTTCAATATCAATGGTTGCTCAGTTTTGTTTAGACTAAGGCAAGACTTGCTCCTCACTGCAAGGTTCTTGCAAGTTCAACAAAGATTGACAAAGATACCAAGAAAACAAAACAAACAGAAACCAAACAACCTGAGCTACACCACAATCAATAGAGTTCAACCCACCTAATACAAAGTACCACTGCACGACCAACGAGCAATGGGACGTTTGCATGGTTTGACGGTGTGGCTAGTCCACAGTATGTAACACCCTAGTTGTTGGCACAAATTTTGGCCTACCTAAATACATGTGAATATTTATGCCATGAGAGATAAAATAATAAATAATTCAGATGGTTATATGCCATATACAGAAATCATAAAATAAATGAAATTAATATATCTAAAAGAGACGCATGACAAAGATGAAAGCCTATGCAAATATATACCCGTCGTATATATTTGTATACCATATATTGTTCATTCACAAAAGGAGGAGAGATGTATATTGTTTATCTACATTCCAAGGAAATAAAAACATATATATAGAAGCAAATGCGTTTGGACACGCACACACGTTAAGTTAATTAAATTATGGCCATGAGCGTGCGTGTGTATATACGATGCGATGTCATACACAATTGACAAGCTAGCTAGCCAAAGACATATACGTAACACACGTGACGTGCATGCGCCCAAATTTACACAAGAAGATGTCGATCAGACGTTCTCCATAATTACTTTGATTAAAGAATAAATAAACGCCCAAAAACCAGTTGTCGTGCAAGGGGTTCAAGAGTTCACAGATTCGCCGCCTTACACGCTTCAAACAGGGCTGCGTCTGTCGACACCGCCACAAGACGATCGCACGATCTCCGCTCCTCCCGTTGATTCAAACTTTGGCGCCGCACCCGTTAATCAAAGGAAAGAGCGCCAAAACACCACGGAACTGCTTCTTGCTTTAGGCCTATAAATACATGGCGATAGTAGAGAGAAGCCCGGCTCCATCTCGCATATCGCCTCCAGTCGCCCCGCTCCATCTCGCATATCGCCTCCAGTGCTGCCTCATTGCATCACTCAACACATAGTGCCGTCAAGTCGCGCTTAACCGCCCGCCGGAAGTTCACCGTCGTCTTGCTGCCCTCGGGCGTCGTCGAAGCACACATCAATGCTCCCTTCGCAAGGAGCACACGTCCGTCCGTCGGCCCCTCGCAAGAAGCCGCCGCGCCGTCCGGTCCGCCGGCATCCCGAAGAAGGTGAGCGGCGCTTTCATGGCGTTCTGCTGATCCTCTTCCACGCCTTCATCTTCACGGCTCCACGGCGGCGTCCGCAACAAC